GTCCTATGCTGTTGTGACACCGTGAGCCTGTCCCCAGGGTCCCCCTCCCCTACCTTGAACACCTTGAGGACCCTCCAGTAGGCAGACTTGTTCCGCCACTTCCTATAGTCCAGTGGGTTGAGGGCTCGGGCCAGGATCTGGGCCGTGGTCTCCTGGTAGGAGACCAGTGGCCGGTACTCATCCCCTGTGTGATGGGAGGAAGGAAGGCAGGAGAGACGGATGGCTTAGCCTCCAGGAACCCGCTCCCCTCCCGCCCACCAGTCCTCCCGACTCTTAGTGGGGACAAAAAACCCAGTGCCTCACAGAAGGCAGGTGATCAGCCTTGGAGCCTCTTTCCTGGGTCTGCGGCCTGAATGACCCCATCTCCCCATCTCCCACCTGAGCCCTTGCCTAGCACCCTCGCCCCAGCTAAGCACACACACTGGGCTCACCATAGTCATAGCTGTTGGTATTAGAAGACACCTGGTCATCCTCGGAGTCTGACAGCAGCTCTGCAGGCAGGAGGGGTGTTTGTGGGAGCCCAGCTAAGAAGCACCCCCCCACACACACACACTGCAGGGGCACCCCTGGGAGGACAGTTCAAGGAGGCAAGTGTCTGTCCAGGCCCTCTTTATTCTGCATTTCTTAGCCATCATCATGAAATTATAGTGTAGTGCTGCCTTTGGGGTCTGGGAGAACTAAGGTCAAGTCTCAGCTCTTCCCTAGCCCTCTGGCCCAGGAGGCCTTGACCTCCTGAACCGGTTTCCTCATCCCTAACAGGTAACTAGTGATCATCTCTGCCTCAGAGTGTCATGAGAGGAATGCATGAAATGATACATGTGCCTAGCATACTGAAAGCAATAAATGATATGTGTGCATGAGCATGTATTTGTGTATGTATGTGTATGTGTGTGTACTTGTGTACATATGTATTTGTGTGTGTTATATATTTCTGTATGTTTGTGGGCATATATGTGTATGAGTGTGCATATGTATCTGTGAGTACATGTGATGTCTGTGTATTTGTGTATGTGTATTGTGTACTTGGTATGTGTGTGTTTAATGTGCTTGTATGTGTGTATTTGTGTAGATATGTGTTATGTGTATATATGTGTTGTGTATGAATCCATCTGTATATGTATTTGTGTATATACGTGTGTGTGTGGTTTATGTATTTGTGTGAGTGTGGGTATGTGTTGTGCAGGTATTTGTGTATACTGTGGACAGGATTTCACCCTGAGGGTAGTGAGGAGCCCTGAGGGGTGTGAGCAGCAACCCCTTAGAAAGACCGCCCTGGCCACAGCATGGAGGAAGAATTAATGAACTTGGACAAGCAGGTGAGGAGAGGCTTCACCAGCATCAGCCAAAGCATGGCGGTGGGACCTTGGAAGTGGCAAGTGGGAAGAAGTCAAGGAGATGGGCTTGGCAGGGCCTGTGGGAATGGCCTCCAGCAAGAGATGGCAGCAGTGAGGGGCCCAGAGGGGCCCAGTCCCCACTAATCCCCTCTCCTTCTTTGCTCGTATGCTCAAACGCACACGCACACCTGCTTGACTCAGACCCTTACCTGGAGTGCCCGGCATGGAGTAAACCAGGGATTTGCTCCGATACTGTCGGTAGATCCAGGTGCACAGAACCACAGTGACCACGTAGAACACATACAAGCTCAGGTAGCCTGCAGACAAGGGTGTGGGCTGTCACCAAGTAGCACCCTGGATGAAGGGCCCAGAGGCCAAGGGCTGGCCAGTCTACTGCTGGTATCTGTTAGTGGAGGCTATCTGTTAGGCCAGCCCAGTACCAGTAGATAAACGGCTGCTTCCTTGAGTTCCTCACACTCCCTCCTGCCTTCCTTGGCCCATCTTCTCACCCCACACCCTGGTAACCAAGCAATAAAGAAGGTAACGCCTGGGACAGACGGTGGCCTCCAGGACCCCATTTAAGTGCTACAGTTCAGGGTGCTGTTCTGCGCCCTGGGAGGCAGACCCTGCTGACTGTATCACCACAGCGCTGGCTATCACTGGGTTTAGCCAATAGGAGGCCCAGCAGGAAATCAGAGGGCAGCAGGAAGAGGCTGGGATGTATCTCCCCTCCCTGCTATGGTGCCGTGTCTCCCACAGGGTCTGTGACCCTCCATGGCTGTAGCTTACGTGGCCGGCCCTCACTGGGCTCTAGTCATTCCACTCCCAGGCCCTACAGCCCTGAGAGGGGGTAACAGCTCCCCCCATAGTTGGTCCCTGGGGGTCTCAGCACCTCAGCATCCTTTCTTGGTTGCCTTAAACCAAAAAACCAAACCAAACCCACTGCCACTGAGTCGCTTCTGACTCATGGCAACCCGATGTAACCGAGTGGAACCACCCCGGAGGGTCTCCTAAGGCAGCAGGTCATCAGGGCTTTCATCTGCAGCACCTACCGGGTGGGTTCGAATTGACCACATCTAGGTTAGTAGTTGACACTTTGGCCTCCTTAACTCAGTGAATGGCCTCTCCATTGACGTCTCTTGAGTATGTGAATGGGGTATGTTTGCTGTTGGAAGTCCCATTGGCTCAGTCAGCATCCCAGGTGTGTTGCTCGTTAAAACACTTTGAACCTCACTCTGCCTCTGTCCCTGTCCCTGCCCCTTTCAGGTTTCTGAACATGCTCCCTTTTGGCTCCAATTAGCTTGGATCCTGATCTGTCACTTGGAACCAAAGAAACCCTGACTCTGCCCTGCAGGCCACCCCACATCTCCCTCTGTCCCTGAGGGGTTCCTGTGCCTCCTACCCATCAGCCTTGGGGTGCTCTGGCCCTGCAGTTGCTCACCCAGGGCCCAGGCCAGCGTGACCCGGCCAGAGTAGAGTGCGGTGAAGGTCAGGAACACAGCTACCATGTAGAAAATGATGTCCCTGAGGAAGGGCCTGGAGGCGGCTGTGAAGGGTTGCAGGATGGCGATGCCACCCGCCACCACCGTGGTGACCAGCACGCCAGCACCTGGAGGAGACAGCAGCACAGCTCAGCCTGCCCTGCACCCCCTCCAACTGCCCCTGCCCTGACCACACCAGGGCTGCCTTACCAAACAGTGCCCCAAAGGCCAGGCCGGCTGTGCGCGGGTCCGAGAAAGCCACCAGTGCACTGAAGATGTCAGGAGCACCGTTGCCAAAGGCCAGGAAGGTGACACCATGGGAGGAGCATGTCAAGGAGGCTCAGTGCTGTGGGCCACCAGTGTGTCCCCCAAACTGCCCTCTCTCCCTCCACGGACAAAAGGATACTGCCACATTGTGGGAGAGCTTGAGAGTGGTAGAAATGGCTGACAGGTTAGGGCAGAAACTATGGAGAGAAAACAAACAGTTAAGTGCTTTCACAGCTACCAGTCCCCTAACCCCATCCTGGGGCCCTGGAGGCTCAATGGTAGAATTCTCTCCTTCCAAGCAGGAGGCTCAGGTTCGATTCCCAGCCAGGGCACCTTGTGTACAGCCACCATCCATCAGGGAGCCTTGCATGTTTGCTATGATGCTGAATTCAGTTCAGGGGAGCTTCTAGACTAAGACGGACTAGGAAGAAAGGTCTGAAGATCTACTGAGAATCAGCCCATGAAAATCCCGTGGGTCACAACGGTCCAATTCACATTGGATGCTGTGGCTGACATGGGACCAGGCAGTGCTTCATTCTGTGGTGGACGGGTTGCTGTGATTCAGAGGCTGACTCAGTGCTGCTACAACAACACAACAGCCCCATCCTCTCCCCAACTGTGGGGTCACCAGAATGTCAACCCACTCTGTTTTCCTGTCTCTAAAATGGGTGCGACCCTAAAGCCAAACTCACAACTTTGCTGCGGTGACTCCCAGAATCAAAAACAAGTAAAGGAGCCAGAGAACCTGGAGGGAGAGTCAAAGAAGGAAGAAAGTTTGAGTGTCCACTTGGGCCACCAGTCCCGCCACCTCACCAGGCTCCCTAGGGACAGGGTCTCACGTAAAGAGTGATGGCCAGAGGGAGGAGACTGGGGGAGAAGACGCAGAAGATGCCTTCAAGGTAGTCCAGGTAGCCTCCAGCACTGTGGCAGTCGGGGTTGGTTCGGATGAAGTCACAACGGTCAGAGACGTTCAGGCCACATACCTCACGGCACTATGGGAAGGGGGTGGGGAACATCAGGGGCCAAGGCTCTGTGGGTAACTGGACGAGGCTCATCTAGGCAGCTGAAGATCGCCCCCCTCCAGCCTGGTCCCCAGGCCCCTTAGAACTTCTAGGCACCGACTGTGTAGTTTTCTTTTTGAAAATAAACTTGTGTTTGAAATTAACGTAAGTAATTCATAAACACATACTTGTTTCTAAAAAATCAACTATAGAGAGATTCCTAAATTTCCCCTTGCATCCCTGCCCTCTACAATCCCACCTCTCTCTAGACACCCTGCCATGATCGGTTCGAAGTATACATACCTTTACATTTCTCAGTTCCACTACATTTGTGTATAAAAAAAACCCACTGCCATTGAGTCTATTTCAACTCACAGTGACCCTATATGACAGGGAAGAACTGCCTGCAGGGTTTCTAAGGCTGTAAATCTTGTCGAAGCAGACTGCCATGTCTTTCCCCTACAGAATAGCTGGTGGGTTTGTACCACCTACCTGTGGGTTAGCAGTCAGGTGCTTAACCTTAAAAACCAGTTGCTGTCAATTCTAACTCATGGTGAACCCACGTACATCAGAGTAGAAGTGTGTCCTACAGGGTTTTCAGTGGCTGAACTATTGAAAGTAGACAGGCAGGTCTTTCTTCCAAAGCACTGAGGGTAGACTCAAACCTTCAGTCTCTCGGTTAGCAGCCTAGTGTCTTAACCTTTTCCACCAAGTCATACAGTCTATTTTGTTTTACAGGAATGGGTCCATCCTAAATCTCTTGCTTTTGTCATTTCCTTTCCCCACTTAGTCTTCTGTCAAGGTATCCATGGATAACTTTCTATATCAGTGCAAATAATGAGGAGGAGGAGAAAAGCCAAGCACAGAGTGATTTTGAAGTGCTAGTTACTGTGCCAGGAGCTTCCCGCATAGTAATGAATGAATCTGCATAGCAATCCTCCCAGGAAGGTAACTTTATCCCCATTTTACAGATAAGGAGACAGAGGCCCTGGCCCAGGGTTCACTCAGTGGCAGAGGCTGAGCTTGAACCCAGGTAGTTTGAAGCCTCTGAGCCCTTGTTCACGGTCCCATCTCCTGCCGAATCTTTTTGCAGCAGCCCAGAACTTAACACTATGGATGGTATGTACCCGAGGTGACCGTTTCCCCGCTTGTAAGCTTTTAATGTGGGTCTTTGTTTCAATATTAGCAACACTGAACTTGCTTGCACGAGACTCTATAGATACATGAGAGTATTTTGCCAGAGAGCTATCTAGAAAAGAAACGGCTGAGTCAGAGGGCACCTGAGGCTAGGTTCCTCCAGAAGCTGACTCAGAGACAAAATCAAAAGTAAGAAGCACATTTGGGAAGTGTAGGGGCCACAGCACAGAAACAGGGCTGGTAGAAGAACTCCATAACTTGGAGAGACTGTCAGGCATGACCCACGGGTCACCTGAGTTTTCCTGCCTCCAAAGAAGCATATCCCCAAGAGGCAGTAGCCTATTGTATAACCACAGTAACCCCAACTCACTTTCCCATCTGCAAAATGGGCCTAACTGAGTGTGCCTGCTTCAGAAGGTGGGCATGAAAGCACTTTACAGTCCCATAAACATAAAGTCGGTGTGGGTGCTACACCTGCATCCCCTTCCAAAGGGGGAGGAGTCTGTTATTCTCATTCTAGAACCCCAGCCCCCTGCAAGTACAGGGGAGCCAGCAGTCACCGTGAGCAGTCCCTTCCTTCTCTCTTTCACTCCAGATCCGTTATGACCTCTCGCCCCCTCACAGACATCAGGGTGGAATGATGCAAGTTCCCTACAGCCTATCTCAACGACTCTGCTGCCCCTGCCCTGGGAGGAAGTCTTCTTGTCCCCCACGGCAGCCTCCCAACAAGTCCTACTCTGTGCTCCATCCATGTCGTCGGTGCCACCAACCCCCAAAATCCAGAGCCGTGCCTGCCTCCTCTCTTCCCTATCACCACACCCCACCATCTACTCCATCAGTACCTCCTGCACACTCTGCCCCCAACAGTTATTCCAAATCCCACCACTTCTTTCCCATCTCCCACAACCACCCTCACTCACCTGCAGGGCACCCACCCCACTGCTCTCCCTGCCACCACCCATACCTCTCAAACCATTTGCCCCAGAGCAGTCAGAGATCCCTTGAAGGAGTAAATCAGATGTTGACATCTCTGCTTAAAACCCTCCATTGGTTCCCCACTGACGTAGAATGATTTTAACCTCCTAGCCTCAGCCTAGGGAGCTCTGGTGACATAGTGCCTAAGGCACTTGACTGCTAACCAGAAGGCTGGTGGTTCAAACCCACCAGCCACTCCTCAGAAGGGAGGTTGGGCAATCTACTTCCGTAGTGATACTGCCTCGGAAACCCAAGGAGGGGTTGCTGAGTCGGATCCGACTCGACGGCAGTGCACTGAGCTTGTTGTAGCCTCAGCCTACAAGGCCTTTTGTGATCTGACCATAACTACCCTCCATCCTCATTTCAATACTCTTCCCTTCACTCACTCACCCTGGGCCAACCACGCTGGCCTCCTCACTGTTCTGGGAACACACTCCTGCCTTAGGGCCTTTGCACTTACTGTCCCCTCTGCTTGGAGTGCTCTTTCCCTAGACGTACGTACAAGGGGCTTCCTCTCACCATTCAGGGCTTGGCTCAAATATTATTTCCTCATAGAAGTTATCTGTGACCACTCAATCGGAAATAGTTGGAAATACACTCCTGAGTATGCTGACCCCACCCCCATCATCACTTTATCCTACTCTTTATCTGTCTTTCCAGGGGACTGTCAGCTCCATGGGGGCAGAGAATGTTGACCTGGGCTCAGCACAGTACTTGGTGCATAGTAGTTACTTAAATGGATGAAAGTATCCCATCTGACCCCAGCCACATGCCTGGATACTCACGTCCACTGTGTGGGACTTATTCACACCTGCAGTTGGAAGCAGGGGGCTGATAGGGGCCCCTGCGGATGGGCCCCCAGGCTCTGCTCTGAACATGGTCTCCACCATCAGCCACCTGGCGGCCATTAGCCCTATGGGCCCAGCCTCATCCACCACTTCCCCTTCTGCAATATTTCAGTTGCAAACAGCTGGTGGCCCACAGCCTGCAAGGTAGGGGTGAGAAGGAGAACAGCATCACCAAAGACTCCAGGAGTGAGAAGGTTTTCAGCTAAGGAACCACTGTCCCTCTCACCCTCACCAAGGTAGAAACCCACATGCCAGATGGGATACCTCCCATTTTCATGGGCCCCCAACAGCGTCTGCATGGAAACCCTCAGTCCCCTCAGGCTTAGTCTGGTCCCTGAAACCAGGAAAGCAAGGCTGCAAGGAACATCTGATGAGATCCAGAGACCCACAGCTGGGCAGTAGGGAGTGGTGGGGACTGGGGAAAACTAGAAAAACCCTCAAAGAAAACCTGAGGGTAGACTTGGCCTCTGGACCACCAGTTGAAGACCCCAGGAGGCTGGCCTATCACATTTGATATTACCACGGGCCAAGCACTACACAGATAACTTCATCTCACTCCCACGACAACCCTCAGACCCACACCCAGTGCCATCAAGTAGTTTCTGACTCACAGTGACCCTACAGGACAAAGTAGAGCTACCCCATAGGGTTTCCAAGGCTGCAAATCTTTACAGAAGCAGACTGCCTCACCTTTCTCCCACGGAGCAGCGGGAAGGTTCGAACCACTGATCTTTTGGTTAACAGCCAAGTGCTTCACCACTGCCCTATTATTATTTCCATTTTACAGATAAAAGGAGCTCTGGTGGTACAATGTTTAAAGCATTTGGCTGCTAACAAAAAGGGCAGCAATTCGAACCCACCAGCCAGAGAGGGAGAAAGATGAAGCAGTCTACTCGTGTAAAGACTGCAGCCTTGGAAATCCTATGGGGTGGTTCTGCAGAGGTTTGGGTTTATTTAACAGATAAGCAGACTCAGACACAGGTGGAGTTAGTCACCTGCCCCAGGTCATGCAGCCAGGCTCCCTCCAGTCAACGTCCCACCTTCTCAGAACAATTTTGGAGATGTTACCGTCTCACCCCTTTTACAATTGAGAGAGTGGAGCTCAGAAGAGTTTTAAAACCTGCACAAGGACACACAGCAGGTCACAGTCAGCAGGTCTTCCCAAGGGGAAGCTGAAGCCCAGAGGAAAAGGACTTGGTCCATCACACAGCCCACAAGCAGGGGATCTGGCTGGAGCTGGACCTCTGCCCTGTCCTTCCACTCCAGGTCAAAATGGCTTCATTTCTCTCCCAAAGAAATTAAACTAAAAAAAAAAGGTCCTTGGCATACGAATTTTCTTCTCGGCTTGTCCACATCTTCTACAATGAGCATGTTTTATTTTTGCAGCCCAGAAAACATTGTTTGTTTTTTTTTTTTTTTTTTGGTAATTCTTTGTGGAGACGTTTTCCAATGTCCTGGCAGCTGGGGGTGGGGTGGGGTGGGGAAGGGCAGGAAGGAAGGTACTAGAAGAGGGAAAAAGAGGAGGGAAGAAAATTGGCTGGGGTTCTCAGCACTCCTTCCTCCCTGGTTTACAGAAAGATACTGGCTTGTGACTCCACATGGCACCACCCTGGGAATTCACACCCATTTCCTATCCCCTCTCAGCCACTTCCCAGTGTCACTTTACCTGTCTGCGCCTGACTCCTCATCTGCAAAATGGAAATGAATGCTGCCCTGGGGGCAAGACCTGCGTTCAATAAATGCTTCTGCCCCAGGGTCCCCACCTTGTACTTCTGTCTTGGAAGAAGTACTGCCAGGATGCTTCTTAGAAGCAAGGATGGCAACGTACTTTGGACGTGTTATCAGGGACCAGTCCCTGGAGAAGGACATCATGCTTGCTAAAGTAGACAGTCACCAAAAAAGAGGAAGACCCTCAATGAGACGGATTGACACAGACTGCAACTCAAATACCAACAATTGTGAAGTTACCGCAGGGCCAGGCAGTGTTTTCTTCTGTTGTACACAGGGTCACTATGTGTCGGAGCTGACTCAATGGCACCTAACAACAACCTCTAGTGTCCCCAGTTTGAGAATCGGAATGGATCTGTCTCTGCTGGTCGCCAATTTCTTTTACTCGCTCACCAGTGAGCATTTATCGAGCGCCTCCTGTGTGCCAGTCCTGTGCTAGATTTGCAGACGACACAGGAAGGGGCGGTGGCAGGAAATCGGAGCTGCACTTTCTAGGTGTCAGACCCAGGAACGTCTGTCTCTCTGTTCAGTTTCCCGATCCCGACTGAGAAGTTGAACTCGGGGTGTCCCGGTCCTACGGAGGCGCCCAGACCGGCAGGGAGGTACCTCTTACCTCGGGCCGGGCTCGGGCCCGCAGACTTGGAACCAGGACTCCGTTGGGCGCGGAGGCCTTCCCGGTCCCTCCCGCTGGCCCGCGCTGCAGGACCTTCCGCCACCGACATCGCCCGGTGCCGGGGCCCCGCCCGCTGCAGCGTCTGCAGGATCCCCTTGCCCCGCCTGGCACCGCCCCTACCCCGCCCCCGCAACAGCTCCGCCTTCTGCCCCGCCCCTGAATGCTCGCCACGCCCCTTCCCTTAAAGACGTGATGTTGACGTTGATATGTGCCATCAAGTCGGCTCCGACTCATAGCGACCCCTCCTTGGGTTTCCGAAGCAGTATCACTACCAAAGTAGATTGCCCCATCTTCCTTCTAAGGAGTGGCTGGTGGGTTTGAACCTCCAGCCTTCTGGTTAGCAGTCAAGTGCCCTAGGCACTACGCTACCAGAGCTCCTAAATATACATACATATATGTATACACACACACACACACACATATGTATATAAACCAAAGATTATTAGATTATTAGTGGCTATCAGGGGTAGGAGGGAGGGAGAAAGGAAAAGCTTTTGTTTGTGAGACGTTGAGATTATGCTGATGGTGGTGGAATATTTTGGAAAAGGATAGCAATAATGATGGCACAACATGAAAAAATGTCATCAATGTCCCTGAGCTATAAATGTGGAAGTTGTTATGTTGGCAAATGTCTTGTGTATGTTTTCACCACAATGAAAGTAAAGAAAAAAAAAGATAATTTAAAAACTATTATTTTTGACTCTTGCTTAAAAGAGGGCATTATCAAAGATGATCACTTTCAAATTATTCAATTATTCCATACCTTGTTATTTTGCCTTAATTTACTTAACTCCAATTTATACTTTTCTGCTTCTTCTAGGGCTCTGTTCAAGCGAACTTCTGTGGCACTTTGACTAGTGGCAGCCTCTTTTTGTAGTCTTCTTTTATTTTCTAATTCCCTTTCTACTGAAGACATAGTCTTCCTCTTTTTCTCTGACCCCTCTACCTTACCAAGCATGATGTCTTTCTCCGAGGGGCCAGGTCCCTCCTGATACCATGAGATGAAGTCTCGCATCCTTGCATCTAAGGAGCATTCTGGCTGTACTTCTTCCAAGACAGATTCGTTCTTCTGGCAGTTCTCCATGACCATAATGCAAGTGCATCAAACAACATACCACATTGGGCAAATATTTGAATTCTTCTTCACTGGAGAGAGGAGGTCTGCTTTTCTAGAATTTATCTAAGTTCTAGCACTGTTTTATAGAATCAATTTGGACCATGGGTGATGTGGAGAAGTTCAACCTCTGAACTAATTGAGCCAGGAAGGATGAGGCCGGAAACCAGCCCACCAGGCTCCTTGATTTTTTTCCTGGCATCAGACGCCCTCCCACGCTTGGAGAACAGACAATTAACAATCTCCATCAAGGTATTCCAGATGTACTCCAGTCTGTTCCCCTCTGAACATGTATAACTATTGCTTAGTTTTAAAAGATACTTCATTGTGGACTGTATTATACATACAAAAGAGGGCATAACATAGTTATTTACAGTTTAAAGAAAAATAACATGAACACACATGTACATTGCACTCAGGTTAAGAAACAGATTTTACACGTACCTTAGAAACCCCTGAACTCACCATCAACCTGACCTTTGTGTTAAACGTTCTTTACTATGTGTATAACACTGAAGTCACATGGAGTTGCCATGAGTCAGTATTAACTGGATAGCAACTAACAGATAATAAACCAATAAATGGCAAAGTTCCTGTTACAATGTTATTGTTGTCTTTGCTCTTAGGCGATTCATGCTGCAGTATTTATGGTTGGTATGTTATCGTGTTCAATTCTCAAATGGTTCAGCAAAATTATACATATAATTATATAGAGAGAGCAATGCAAAATACTAGAAATTGATGATAGGTGTATGGATATTTATTTTTCTATTCTTGCAACTTTTCTTTAGGTTTGAAAACTTGCAAAATAGGAAGTTTAACGGAGTAATCTAAACTGGGTTTGTGTGGCTGGAACCCTTTAAGGTGCCAGGGTCCTTTAAGGTCGAGCCGGCCCCTACGTCTCACCCTGGGCCCGTCCCATCCGGGAAAAGTTGGTCCTATGACTAATGCATATGACTGCTAACCAGAAGGTTGGGTTCAAACCCACCAGCCACTCCTCAGACGGAAGACTGGGCAATTTACTTCCGTACATACCGCCGGGAAACCCAAAGAGGAGTCACTAGGAGTCGGAATCAACTCCACATCAGTGACTTTAGTTTTTGGTTTTTGTGTGTGTGCTCCTCCCCTCCCTCTGGGCCCTACCTTCTCTCCGCCCGCCCCGCCCTCATCTGCACAGGGCCCGCCCCCGTCTGCACAGGGCCCTCCCCCGTCTACACAGGACCCGCCCTGGCGTCGTAGGCTCCGCCTAGGACTGGTCCCCGAGCCTTTGGACCCGCCCATGCCCTACCCCTCGGGACCCTAGGCCCCGCCCGTCGCGGCTGAGCACAGTCACGTGAGCCAGGCTGCGGCGCGCCGCTTGGCGCCGTCATGGTTGCCCCGACATACGGCTCCGCCGGCGGCCGCCTGGCCCGGGCTCTGACGCGGGCGCTGGCGCTGGCTCTGGTGCTAGCCCTGCTGGTCGGGTTGTTCCTAAGCGGCCTAACGGGCGCCATCTCGCCCGTGGGGGACCGCTGGGGGCCCGATGGGCCGGCGCCGCCCGCCTCCCGAAGCCGCTCGGTGCTCCTGGACACCGCGGCCGGGCAGCTGCGCCTGGTGGAAGGCCGCCACCCTGATGCGGTGGCTTGGGCCAACCTCACCAATGCCATCCACGAGACCGGGTAAGGGTTGGCCTGACCCAGCGCGGGGCGGCCGAGGAGGGAGTGCGTGGCCGCTGGGCGTCTCCCTCGACCGGAGGTGTCAGTATCCCTGGGGCCAACCTCTTTCCGGATAACAGCCTCTCTGTCCCCTGGGGTCAGTTGCCCGGCTCCGAGGCTGCAGTAAACAGCCTGGGTCTGTGACTTGGGGCTAGTGCAGCAACCCTTACCTCATGGGGGCCGGTTCCTTGTTTCTATCCCAGAGTGGTAGTACCACTGCCGCCGTCAGGGCCAGTTTTCCGCCTCTGCAGCTGCAGTACCCCGGCTGGACCAGATCCCTGGCTGAAGAGGCACACAGCCTTCCATCCCACCAGGACCACTCCCCTTCCCCAGGCCTCAGTGCCCCACCCCGTGGAGGCCGGCCCTTTGTCTCCAGGCCTGGAGTGGTGATGACAGTTCTCCAGGTGCCAGCCCCCTGCCTTTCCTCAGAGCCAGGGCAGCAGGACTGAACTTGGGCTCAGGCCAGTCTGACTTTTAGGGTCTCTAAATTCACATGGGCCCAGATAGTATCTGCTTCTCTCACCTTCTCTGTCCCTGGCCAGGCACTTTGCTCCATACTAGGCTGTCATTCTGACTCCGTATAACTGAGACCCAGGCTACCATTCTCTCATGTGACTCTCACCTAACTGCCTTTGCCCATCTGGGCTCCCATATCCCCATCTGTGGCTCAGATTTTTAGGATGTGCCTGGCAAGGAGGTTATGGGGAGCCCTCAGAACTTGTTCAAGGGACGGGGTAACCTTTCAGGCTTGTGCCCTGTCAACCATTCATCCATTGTCTTGGAGGTTGTGCTGAGAAAGGCTGGGGGTCCCTGCTCACTGGAGGAGACAGACAGTTCCAGAAGGGAAACCGGAGTCAGTGGGAATGAGGAGGAGAGCAGGGCCCAGGCCCTGGATCCAGGCTGTGCTGGAATCTTAGGAGATCTTGACCCTTCCTCATCTCCATCCTGAGCCCATCTCAGGGCCCACTTCCCCCTTCAGCAGGCATGGCCACCTTCCACGGTAGCCCCACCCATTTTGCTGGTACGCATTGCTTCCTGCAAGTACAGAGGAGACACAGGACATGAGGACACCCCCATTCTGGTGCTTTATGGTGCTTGGGAGGGTATCAGATAGATAGGTGAGGGATTGGGGGAGATTTGCTGTAGACACAGGAGTGGCTGGGGTAATTCTGGGAAGGCTCCCAGGGAGAGGAAGCCACAGTGTGCCCTGGCTTCTATGGAGGGAGCAGAGCTCAGTGGCTGGCTGCAGTGGTGGCCGTGACTCTGGGATCTGGTGACCCATTCTCTGCTGACTCACACATGTTTCAGCTCTGCCTGGCATGACACGGGAGCATGACAGCCCTCGGCTAGGATGCCAGCTTGGGTGGGTGGGGGGCAGGGAGGTGATGCTGAGGATGAGAAAGGGACCTTGTCCTCAGGAGACCCCTACTGGGCTATCTTGTTCTCAGTTATAGAAAGCTGGGAAGTAGAGAGAAGGCTTTCTTGATTGTGCTGGTTGGACAGTCAGAAGCAGACAGGCCAGAATCCTTTGGTTCCAGGGCCAACTCCACTGCTGTGTGACATTGGGCAAATCACTTCACCTCTCTGAGCCTGTTTTATCTCTTGAGGGTAGGGCTCAGAGTTATAGAAATTCAGATGAATCACAGCTTCACTATTTCCTGGAGGAAGCAATCAGTGAAAAAGAAAGGAGCAGGTGTTCTTGCTCCTTTTATAGTTGGAGAAACTGAGGCTTGAGAGGTGAGCTCAGTCTTCTTGCTTCCCCCTCACCCTTCCAGAATCTTTTCTGTCCAGTTCTACACTCCCTCCTCTTCTGTTCACAAGCCCCTTTCCCTTTGAGTTTGCCAGCATTTGGGGCTGTGATGTAGGGAAAAATCATGTCTGGAGCCCCATTTTACAGGCAGGGAAACTGAGGCCCTCAGAGACCACTTCCTGAGAAGTCAAGGGTAAGATAAGAGACAGATATCTGGAGTGTCCTGGTCCATGACCAGCAGAATCTCTGATCTGGGGGTTGTTGTTAGGTCCCATCGAGTTGGTTTTGACTCAGCGACCCTGGGTACAACCGAATGAAACACTGCCCGGTCAGGTACCAGCCTCACGATTGTTGCCATGCGTGAGCCCGTTGTTGCAGCCACTGTGTCAATCCATCTCCTTAGGGACTTTCCTCTTTTTCACTGACATCTACTTCAGCAAGCATGATGTCCTTCCCCCAGGGACTGATCCCTCCTGATAACACGTCCAAAT